AGAACTTCTTTTACCGAATTATACTTCTTGGGATGCAGATTTTCCAATAAGTGTTGCTAATGTTACTAATTAAGCCTCCAAATAGCAGATTGCTATTCAACAGATGGACGTGAGGAATCAACTGCAAAGGTATTTATCGCTTCTAGACCAGTCGCATTTTGACCTCGCTTTCCCTAAATTTGCCCTCAACAATCCCATTACCGTATTTCTCGATGAGAATTGGGTGAACCAGAAGTTGACATTTGGAAAATTATTATTTCGGTCGCGTGACTTGAAGACGGAACTTGCCCTCTGTGATGGGGGACCCAGGCATGACGAAGGAATCAAGAGTTTTCTGACTGCGTTCGTCAGGATTCCCTTTGTAAATGTGGTCCCGGTAGATTTCAGTGCTCATTGCCTCAGTACGGTGGATTATCTTACCCAATTTACAAGCCACCGTCTGCCCGGTCAACGCCGTCTAAGCCTGAGTCTGTACCACGTGCGGCCTGATCTCCTTCTTACGACGAATATTGATGCGGAGATGGACTGTTTCCCATTACCGGACGAAGCAAAAGTCGTTTCTTTTAGAGACTGGTGTCGTAGTTGTTCTCTTGCAGTCATACAACGCCTCCGGAAGACTAGGCAACTTACTCTGGTGGAGGCCAATCTATGGATCCGTGGAAGATCCTGCTGTAATGAGGAGACTCACTTTTCTTTCAAGAATCTTGGGATACTACGAGCAGCCCTCGCATTCCTCTCTCCTGAAAATATTTATGAAGGGAGCCAATTTCCGATTCTGCAGCTCACGGTTCTGAGTTCCTGCTACCTATGTCCCTACGAGGCAAAGACGAGACATTACGAATCATATTTTCCGGGCGTTGAAGTACACTTTGGATTTCTGAAGCGTTGTGCAGACGATGGCCCGAGTGATTATGCAGCCAGCTGTTTACAAAACACTGGTGACATGACCCTGGCATTCGAATATCCTTCCGATGAACCAGTTCCCTCTGGGGTGAGATTCATGAGCTCCACCGAATTCTACATCAGAGTTGACCGAGTTGTTCCACTGTCCCTCGAGAAAGTTGACCTGTTATTTATCCTTGAACCTACCATCAATAGTCGCGGCGCTTCTCTTGAAAGGAGATATATTGAAGAAATCATACTGAAGACTGATGTCGAAATTTCCTGCCTTAGAGGCCATTTAGTTGCCAGGAGGAGGCGTAATGCAACGATTACGAGGCAGGACTTTGGAATGATAGCCAGGCTGAAATGTCTACCTCTTTTGATTGCCCAAAAGAACACTCAGCTCGCTGGACATCTTGGCGGAGTTGCTCATTGGTTGCCTAAAAACTCGAGAGGCTCTGAGGCAGATAAAGAGCCTTCGCGGCCAGCTGGCCAATGTGAGTAAGTTTGGCGTCACAGGGGGAAAAGACCTGGACGCTAAGCTCGTCAACGAACCAACTGTTCGGACTGCTGATCTTCGACCGTTCCTGGAGATGTTTCCATTCCTTCAGTGTCTTGAAATACGCGTTGACATCTGGTTTTTAAAGGCGAATTTTGCCCTATTCCACCGCGTATGTCCATGCCTAGAAACACTTCTCTGCTATTTACCGAGCTATGTAGAGGATTGCATGGACGGAGGCGTTTCTCTCTGTAGACTGGAATCATTTTTTGGGAATTTGGTAATGGATTTACTGTTGAGCATCTGTACGCACTTGCTGGATGTGTGCAGGCTTCTTATATCCTCCTATGTCCCTGCGATAGCGAGGTCACATTGGACGAAAAGCACATGAAGACTGTGTTTGCGAGAATGCCCTGTCTACACTGGCTTGTGCTGATTTATCCGGAAGGAAGCTGGATCTGCAGTCAGTCGTCGGACGGCCAAACGGTTCAAATCGTGTCAGCGAATACCCGGTCATGAAAGGATCTTTGCCGAATGTTTCCTCAACTATGTGGGAAATTCTGGAGTAGGCACATGCCATGCGTCATTCATTCTGACCAATCCCAATCGTAGATGACAGGGTGTTTTGTCCCAGTATGCGCCATTTTTGAAAGCTGCTATACTCACTGTTCTAATAAATTCATTTTCTTGATCTTCGGCTGTGACCACGAGCATTTCTGGGTTTTGTTTTGCCATTTCTTGCAAATGACTGTTTCCGACAGCTACTCAGCCACTATTTCAGCCAGTCAGGAGGTAGGTAAAAATAAAAGTGGTATACCACCTTGCATACCCCTAGTCCAGTGGTTTCTTTTAGTTTTACTAATCTTACTTTTGGTTTAGCTTTAACTTAAGAAAACTGACAAAACTAAAAACTATGCTACACTAAAATTAAACTAAAACTAATAAACTAAATAACAGACTAAAACTAAATAACAATCATATCAAAGAAGGGGTCCGACGCAACTCTGCGACTACTTACTTGTTGCGGCTGCGATCATGCCTGGCCTCGAAGATACCCCGTACAGTGCTTCTCCGAGCACGACGATCCGTGGCAGCAGACCTGAACAGTTCAAGCCATTCTCTTCGCCGGAGATCGAATACCGATGGTCCAAGAACCACTTACATGTCCTGACGGACTGAGTCGGGCCAAATCTTTAACTGACCCCCACTTCGATTTTTCCAATTAGGTAACAGTTTCGTGTCGGGGGCAGTAGCACTGAGCTCCTGAGGTTGACGACGAAGAACGTGTCCAAACCATCTCAGTCGTCTTTCCTGAATGGTCTAAGATAGGTTTGTGATTTTGTCGTAGCGAGTGTGGACTGTCTCATTAGAGACGAAGTCGGTGTACTTCACTCGAAGGATGGTTCTCAAGCAGTAATGGTCAAATGCTTCCAGTTATCGTTCATCTTCCACGCGCATAGCCCAGCATTCGCATCCAGATGGCAGAACAGATCGTACAGATGCACGGTGCACGCAGACCTTTGTGAAGATATAAATATTATGTCGGGTCCATAGGCACTTTAGAAGGCTGGAGAAAACTTGTCGAGCTGCGTCAATACGGGTGAAAATGTCATCCTTACTCTGTCTATTTGGAAGCAACCTCGTTCCGAGGTATTTGAAACTGTCTACTTCTTTAAGTTGACAGCAACTAATCTCGAGAGGTGTCTTCTCTGGGGCAGGGATACGGCATGGAAACAGTTTAGTCTTCCCAGAGTTTATGGACAACCCGACTGAATTCGCGATCTCGTTCACCTGTGACACCAAAGCGATATCATCGGCATAGTCGAGGTCGGTCAGCCGGCGCCCGGGTGTAAGCTCAATACCATCATTTTCCTGTAGGGTCTTCCCGACAACCCAGTCAATGGCGCACTCATGATTACCAAGACACCTTATCGCAAGGTGTTAAGGCTACTAAGGTTTAACTCGAACGGCTGAGATCTTCCAGGCTCAGCTCCTTAGGAGATGAGAAAAGTATTGGGAAAGGCAGATTGTC